TGGAGGTGTGGTAGAGCTGCAGTCTGTTGGACAGTGTGGGAGGAGAGGAACTCAAGGATCTTCTCAAATAAAGAGAGAAACGCGGAAGAAGTCATGGAGATCATCCATATTAGGATGGTACAATGGTTGAGAACATTGGAGCTGTTCAAAGTATTCTCAGTTGATGAGATGTTAAGGAATTGGAAGGAGATTGCAGATTCAGGTTTATGTAGGAAGATAATAAAAGTTTGCTGGACTCCTCCACCCCTTGGGTTCACTAAACTGAACTTCGATGGCAGCAGCATAGGGAACCCAGGGCCTTTCGGAATTGGGGGTGTGATAAGGGATGAAACAGGGAACTTATTAGCCATGTACTCTGGGCCGATTTGGGTGGGTGACTCCTTGAGGGCTGAGATTTTAGCAGATATTGAAGGGATTCAAAGGGTCAAGGAAATGAATATAAAAAAGGTGGTTATAGAAGGTGATTCTGAAGTGGTGGTGAAATTGCTAAAAGAGGACAGTGCTATGGTGTGGAAATACAACAATGACTAAAAGGACATGGAAATTCGATGTACATGGATAAAGAGAAGTGCAAATGCATTGGCTGATGGTCTAGCTAGGCAAGGGGCAAATAGAGATACATTATTCTGGGCTGTTTTGTAATCACTGCATGGTCAAAAAGTCACTTGGGTAGCTGGAGTTAAGACTTTTTAGCTCCATCCCTTTGTAAACCTGATTTTATCATTAATAAAATTTCACTGTTATTGATAAAAAAAATTAGTGCTCTACATAGTATGGAGAAGGTTGGAAGTGAGTCAAAAACACAAGGGGAAGGATTTTTTGGGACTGGTAACATGACTGAAATCTCGTTCCAGATTACCATTGTTAGGTTTTGTAAAGAACACTGATGTGGACCCCACTGATGTGGTCCCAACAGTGTTTGTATGGCAGCAATATTTCTGTTAGATATGACAGTGTTAGTTGGTAGTTATTTTCAGTTAGTTATTTCAGCTTTATTATTAGTTATTTCTTGTTCTATTTGCCATGTAAGCACTAATGGCAATTCAGCCCTTTTACAGTTAGCCAATAGTTATAAATACTAAGAGAGGGTCGGCGGAAACTATGACCTACTTTCTCTCTTTTCTTAAACTTTCTTCGTGTACTTCTTTTCTTCCTCTCTTCTCTTCTCTCCAATTTTTTCATCATTTTTTCTTTTAATTCCAGACTGCTTATAGTCTAGATCAACTACTGGTTTGATGGAACAAATTACTTGGAGTGGGACCAATCAACAATGATGGCCATTGGAGGTAGAGGTAAATAAGGTTATGTGACCGAAGACACAAAGAAGCCAACCAAGGAAAATACATCTCATCCGAAATGGGTTCAAGAGAACTATTTGGTGATGACTTGGCTATGCAACTCTATGCAGCGCCATATCAGCCGAAACTTCCTTTGGGCAAAAACAGCCAAGGAGATTTGGGACAGCATGAAGGAGACTTATTCTCAACCTCTTAATGTGGCTAGAGCTTATGAACTGAAGTGTGAAGTTAATAACCTCAAGCAAGGGGAGAAGCTAGTCTCAATGTATTTTGCTACTTTAAAATCCCTTTGGCATGAAATTGATCACTTGGAAACTATTGAATGGGAAAGCCAGAGGGATGCAACAACATATAGAAAACTGATTGAAACAAATAGAGTATTTGAGTTCTTAGTTGGTCTAAACTCAGATTTTGACATTATAAGACAACGACTTCTCACTAGGGAGAGAGTGACTTTATCTCAAGCCTACTCATTGGTTCATAATGAAGAGAGTAGGAGGAAGGTTATGCTATCTTTTCAGCCTACAGAAGTAGCCTTGGTAGCAACAAAATCTAAGGTTGGAGGGGATAAGGAAAGGGAAATTAAGAAGACAAAAGAGACATTTTTTTGTGATTGTTAGAGTTAGCCGAATAAGGGTAGATTAGTCAACTCACCTTGGTTAAGTTATGAGCTTATGTGGCAGTCTTATTAGAGGTTCTCTGTCCCATACTTAAGTAGGGACAGTTTAGTCCTTGTACATTTAATTAGAGCCTAATCACTATTAAGAGGTCGATTGATAGGGTTTAGCTATCAGGT